GCAGAGCGCAGGGGGGCACACGGGGGGCACGGTGCCCCCGGGGGCGGCTTTCTCAGATGGAGAGTGCAGCAGGGAGCGGTGACAGCATCCCCCTCGTCCCCTGCGAGCGAACACGGAGCAATTAGCTAATTGCAGCGGTGGGCGCCTGCCCCGGCCCCCCCTCGCTGCTGCCGAGCGGGCTCCGCAGCACTTTGTGCTTTAACCTACATTCCCTTTTGTCCCGGCCGGCGCGGCCGGAGCGCGCCCGGGGCCCTGCGTTCGACTCGGCCTGGAACGGCACAGCTCGGCCTGGCAGGGCCCCCCCTCCCAGCAGCCCCCAGCCCCAAATTAAGCAGCCGGGGCTCAGCTGAGCGCTGGGTAAGTGGGTCACGCTCAGGCAGTGACACGACACCACACGCGGTGTCCCCAGGACGGGGTTGGAGTTTTGCCTCCTCCCGGGGAGGGTAATCACAACAACTCCTTCCCCAGGGTGTCTCTCTCTCCCCCGGAGCATCCTGAGCATCCTCCTCCATCCCTTCCCGGGGGATGGGAGCGCTCGCAGCCTCTCGAGGAGCGGCACTGCCTGACGACAGTTTCGATCGAGCTTTAATTAACTCACGAGCCTCGGCGCTCGCTGTGAACAAACAGAGGCAGAAGGCGCCCGCTCCAGCTGTGGCACGGGGCCAGATGTGCGGTGGGGGTGCCCAGGAGGGTGGCAGGGGACTGCGCTGCTCAGGCATGTGGCCCTGGGGACCCACGAAACCCCCTTGCCCTGGGGGAGGACCGGGAGCAAAGAGGTTAAATCTCTGAGCTGGGGACCAGCCCCAGCGTCCCCCAGAGTGCGGTGACAGGCGATGTTGGGGTGTGTCCTGCTCCATCCTGGGGACACCCATCAGCACCCAGCCCCATCAACCTCCATCGGGCTGCACCCACCACCCCAAAGACGCCCCCACCCTGCGACCAAGCACCCTCGGTGTGACCCCTCCAGCTCAGTGGGTCCTGGGCCCCCATTTGCACCCCATCCCTGTGGGGCTGCACCTTTCCCTGGGTCTGGGACCCTGAGGAGCAGCAAATCCCTGGGGCACCTTGAATTATCAGTTCCCCATTATCACCCTGGGTCCTGCCTGCACTGGTGACACCGATGCCACAGGGATGCCACCAGGATTCTGGTGCCAGCGCCGAGTTTGGCCTGTTTTTTTTTCTCCTTGATGAAGCTGTTCGGGGAATCCCAGGATTCAGGAGCTGAGTGGCTGTGCCACAGCCACTGCCTGTCCCCGCGGCTTTAGAACGGTCCCATGGTCTCACCAGACACCCTCTGGGTGCTACCAGCACCCCTAAGTGACACCTCCACCCTCTGCCTTTCCTTCTACCCATAGCCAGCTAAAAATCCCGGAGCATCGCTGGGATAATCAGTCAGGAGAGCTGACCCTGCTCGCGGTTCTCTCCCGGAGCTGGTGCCTGCCAGGACGGATTTTTTTTCTTTCCTGGGATGAATTTTTCCGCCTCGGCTGCCAGCGGGGTGGCTCGGGGCTGGGGAAGGGGCCGAGGGAGCGCAGCCGGCGCCGGTGACGCGGCAAGAAGGGGCCATTGTGGCCGGGCACAGCTGTGCGGAGAGGGAAGGGAGCGGTGGGAATGCAAAATGCTGGAGAGGGAAGGGCTTGAGGGATTCACCGCCCCGCGACGGGGGTTTCCCCACCCCACACGTGCCCCGGTGACAATAGTGGCTTTATGGGCAGTGACGCCATCCCCTGCCCCAGGAGCTGCTGGGCTCTGGCATGTGCCATCCCCATGGGGACAGGTGGGTGCTGGGGACACCGCGTCCCCGTCCTGTCCCTCTGCACAGCCAAGCAGGGCGCTGGGGCGCTCCCTGGTCCCCTTGGAGCCGGGATGTGCCGGCAGCAACCGCCGCTCGATCCTGGTGGAGTAGGGTCCTTGAAGCGGTGTGACAAAGCGACACTGGGGATGGGGAGAAGGACAGGGAGCTGCTCCGTGCCCTTCCCAGCACCCCTCTGCGACCCGGCGGGCAGCAGATCCTGTTTCTCTCGCCGAGTTCTCCTGAATTATTCAGGCGCTGCCTCCCTGGGGACGCTCCCCGCCGGCCCCAGCGGAGCCCCCCGCACCCGGCCTGGGGGGAGCAGCCGCGACTGGTGTTACTGGTGGTGTGAGAGATATCCAGGCGGGATCTGCCGTGGGAGAGGGAACGGGATGAGCCGTGAGCCTCCCCGGGGACGGGCGATGCTCGGCGGGCGGGAGAGGAGCTGCTGCAAAGCCCCGTTTCGTTTCCCTGAAAGGAGAGGAGGGACGGGGGGAGAGGCCGCTCGGAGCTGGCCCAGATCCTGCTGCTTCTCTTTTTTATTCCCTGTTTTCATGCGGCGCCAGCTCCCATCCCCACTGATCCGCAGTGGCTGCTCCATCCACGTGGGCAGCATCCACGGATTTGGGGGGGCTCCCCCCGGTGTGACCCCAGCCCTGCAGGGACCCCAGGAGGGTTTGGGGTCCCACTTCAGGGCTGGAGTGAGGTGCAGAGCTGTGCAAGGCGTGGGAACATCCCTGAGATTGTCCCGGAGATGGGAATTGGGGTGCTGGGTGATGGGCACACGGGAGTGCCCTGGGGGCAGCAGGGTGCCCCCCACGTGCCCACCCTGTCACCCTCCACTGCACCTTCAGCTGCAGCCTGAGAGAGGTGAAAGAGCTGCAGGGTTGTCCCAGTGATGGAGATTTGGGATGGGGGTGCAGGACAGGATAGGAATGGGGACATGGGATGGGGCAGGAATGGGGACATGGGGTGGGATAGGAATGGGGGATGTGGGATGGGGAAGTGATGCTGACACAGGACAGGACAGCAGGGGGGACACAGGACCAGGCAGTGATGGGAACACAGGACCAGGCAGTGATGGGAACACAGGACCAGGCAGTGATGGGGACACAGGATCAAGCAATGGTGGGGACACAGAACCAGGCAGTGATGGGAACACAGGACCAGGCAGTGATGGGAACACAGGACCAGGCAGTGATGGGAACACAGGACCAGGCAGTGATGGGGACCAGCCCTGCCAAGAGGAACCCACCACGTTTTGCCAGCGCTTCTCGGGCTCTATTCACCACCTCCCCTGGATCCATCAGCATTTCCCTGAGCCCACCAGCCCATTCCACGCCATTCCTGGCTAATGGCCGGTTTCACACCTCTGCCAAGGGCCAGCGGGACCGGATGAGCCCAGAGGGTGATTTATGCCGGGCAGGTTGATGGCACAACTGTTCAGGAGAGCGAGAACAGCTGCTCCGGCTGTTCCGGCACAACGTGGGGTCGGGAGCAAATCCTTGGGGATAGCGGGAGTGGGGGTGATGCCCCGGGGGTGTTGGCACTGCCGTAGGGTGGGGCGGGGGCCAGCAGGGCTGGGGGGCTGGTGAGGACCTGGGGTTCGCTTCCCAGCCGCTGCGTGAGACCAAGATTCAAGTCAAGGCTCCCATTAATCCAGACTTTAATCCGCTCTAAATCCCACCTTTAATCTGTTTAATGCCACCTTTGGGGATTAGGATCGTGTGCCGTGGCTCTTTCCAACCGAGCCAGGAGGAGGAGGAGGAGGAGGAGGAGGAAGGGAGCTCGGAATGGGGGTGCAGACCTGGGCACGGCTCCGTGGGACTGTGGCATCGGGGGGGTCCCCAGCACCGGGATGAGTTGAGAGCCACGATCCCCCCGCCAAAACCCTCCTCCACACACAGAGCTCGGCCGGCAGCGGGGCAGCCCCGCCCCGTCCTCCCCCTTCCCAGGGCTGTTACATCCCCACGTCGGGCCCCCCAGGCGAGGGGGGACGTGCCAAGACCCCCGGGTACTGCCCTCGCTCAGCCCGGTCTACCAGCGCCCTCCTAAGCTGTTGCTCATAAGCGCCGTGGCACGGCGTCCCTGTTACCCACCCGCGTCCCCACCGCCCACCCGTGTCCTGTCACCCACCCGTGTCCCCACCACCCACCCGTGTCCCGTCACCCACCCATGTTCCCACCACTCAGTTGTGTCCCCACCACTCACCCGTGTCCTGTCACCCACCCGTGTCCTGCCACCCACCCATACCCACATCCCCCACCCGTGTCCCCATCACCCATTCAGGTCCCCATCACCCACTCATGTCCCATCACCCACCCATGTCCCGCCGCCCACCCGTGACCCGTCACCTACCCGTGTCCTCATCACCCACCCGTGTCCCCATCACCCACCCGTGCCCCGTTGCCCACCCGTGTTCCCTCATCCCCTCGCATGCCCATCACCCACCCGTGCCCACACCCCCCGTGTCCCCATCACCCGTGTCCCCGGGGGTCCCGTTCCCCCCCCGCCCCCGTTCTAACGGGACCGTCCCACGCGCGGGACCCGCGGGGGCGCGCCCGCCCCGGCCCCGCCCACACCCCCGTCTGCGCACGACCATTGGCTGCTTCGTAGCAAGCCCCGCGTCGCCATTGGCTGGCACCGCCCGCGGGACACGCCCCCCGCCCCCCTCCCGCCCCCGCCGCTCCCGGGACCGCGCGGGACTTGGAGCGACCGCGGGCGGGAGGGCCCGGGAACCGGGAATAGGGACCGGGAACAGGGAACAGGAACCGGGAATAGGGACCGGGAACCGGGAATAGGGACCGGGAACAGGGACCGGGAACCGGGAATAGGGCCCGGGAACCGGGAATAGGGACCGGGAACAGGGACCGGGAACCAGGCACCGGGAACCGGCACCGGCATCGGGCACCGGGATCCGAGAACCGGGGACAGGCACCGGGAATCGGCACCGGGAACTGGCAGCGGGAACCGGCATCGGGCATCGAAGACCGGGCACCGGACATCGACACAGGGCACCGGCACCTCCGCCGAGGACCGGGCACGGCTCCGGGCACCGGGCACTGGGATCGGATCTGGGAGCGGTCACCGGTACTGGCTGCGGGGCCCCGCCGGGCAGGGAGAGGCGCCGGGGGAAGCGGGACCCCCCGCCCGGCCCCGCCCCGGCCCCGCCCCGGCCCGGCCCGCCGGGGGCACCGGAGCTGCCCCGGTCCCGGCGCCGCGCTCCCCGAGCAGGCAGGTAAGGGCCGGCCGGGCTCTGCCGCCCACCGAGATCAGACCCCCTCCCCTGGCACCTCCCGGCACCTCCCGATATTCCCGGTTCCCTCCAGCCCCCCCGGTACCCCTGTTTCCCCCGGTCCGTGGGGGCGGGGGCTCCCGGTGCCGGCCCGTTTCGTGCTGTGTCCCCCCCTCCCCGGTGTCACCGGGCACCGACGCCCCCACCCAGCCCCCTTGGAGCCCCGAGGGTAAAGGAGGGTTTGGGAAGCCCCGAGGGGCGGGAGCTGCCGGGTGGGCAGAGCCCGGGGCCGTTCCCGGCAGCCCCGGGCCGTGCCTCGGTTTCCCCAGGTGGATAAAACACGGGGAAAGGGCGATTTCCCCCAAAATCCCATGGAAATCCGAGGGGGTTGGAAACACCACCGGGTCCGGTGGGTGCTGGTTAACGGGAGAAGGCACCGGAGCCCCTGTCACGGGGCCATCACAGACCCACGTGCGAGGGCAGGGCCGGGTGCCCCATGGCAGCACTTGGCTTCGGGCACTGCCAGTCCCTCCTCCCCTCCTGCGCTCCAGAGGATGAAATTCCTCCATTCCCGGCGAGACTAATCCCTTTGGAGAGGTCAGATCCCACCCAGAGCACGAGCTGGGTGAAAAACTTCCCAACTCTGACCCACCTCCCTCTGGAGCAGGGAAGGATCTGGGCCATAAACATTCTTTGCTGACCCCAAGCCCAGCACCGGATCCTGATTGTCCCGTGGAGTTTTCTTCCCTCCTGGAGCGACTCTGTCCTCCTGATCCCGGGGTAGGAAGCATGTGATGCCCCCCTGGCCCCCACCGTGGGCCGGACAGACGGAAGGATGGTGGTTTGCCCTCAGTTTCCCCTCTCCCACCCTCTGTTTTCTACTTCCCCATAAGTCCCCGTCTGCTCCGAGCGAAGGGGAAAGGAAGTTGCTGCCAGAGAGAGCAGCTTGATGGCAGCTGGAGAAAGAAAAGGAGGAAATGGAAGGCGAGACAGATGCTTCAAAATAACCCCCCCTTCCTCCTCCTCCTCTTCCTCCTCTCCATGAAATAAACCCCTTCCTCCTCCTCTTCCTCCCCATTCTTTCCATAAAATAACCCCCATTCCTCCTTCTTCTCTCCATAAAATAACCTCCATTCCTCCTCCTCTTCTTCCTCCCCATTCTCTCCATAAAATAACCCCCATTCCTCCTCCTTTTCCTCCTCCTTCTTCTCTCCATAAAATAACCCCCATTCCTCCTCCTCCTCCACCTCCTCCTCCTCTTCCTCCTCTTCCTCCTCTCCATACCGCAGCTACCTCCCCCTGGGGCACAGCAATCCCAGGGGAAATTCCTTGATACGCCACTTAGATCCTCAAATCAGCCCCCCAGGATCACCCCCCCCCCTCCCCCCGTGTGCCAGGATCCCATTCCCACGGGAAGCGCCGCCTGGATTCACCACCACCCACGCCCGGGGTTGGCATCGCCGGAGCCCCCTCGGATCGGCCGCCCGGCTCCTTGCACAGACACGTCGGAGCCGCCGGGGCGGATCAGCATTCCCAGGCAAAACCAAGAAAGCTTCTCCTCCTTCCCGTAGGTGCATCTATGCGGGAAGGAGACTTTGGGATGGAGGAGCTCAGCTCCCGGTGCCAGAAGTGTCAGGGGCAGTGATCAGTGATGGGATCGTGCCAAGCGCTCGGTACCAGTGTGGTGCTGGGCCGTGGCGATGCCCCCGCGGCATTCCCGGTCCTCGCTCCGGCCGAGGGTTCATCCCGGCCTTGCCAAGAGCTGAGTTTTGCCTCGGGAGAGGTGTTTACTCAGCGGCTTCCTCCCCGGCCTCACCCCGCTGGGCACACACGCGCCGGATCCGTGGGATCCGTGTGTCAGCCCGGCGGCCCCGGCTGCTCTTTGCACCCATGGCAACGTGCGAGGCGCGGCCTGAGCCCTCCCTCCTCCTCTCTCCCTCCTCCTCCTCCTCCTCCGCTCTCCCTCCACTCTCTCACTGCTCTCCCAGGAGCTGGAGGGGTCACGGATGGTGGGGACAGGCTGCTGGGGCTCTCCGGTTACTTCCCGGCGCTCCCCCCCTGTAATCCAGCGCGGCGGCGTTTAATTAATTAATAGGGGTTGGAGTGGGTGGAAAGCGATGCCGGGGGACGGAGCAGGATCCCATCCACCCCCTTGGCGTTTAGCCAAGGATTCAGGAGGAATGGGAATGCTGGGGTTGCAGAGCCAGGGGTGTTTTCCGAATCGGTGGGAGGAAACAGCCTGTGGGATGGAGGGAAAACCAGGGACATCTCCACTATTAAATGTTTATCCTGGTTGGGAACTGATGTTTCCGTGTTGGAGGGAACTTGTAGCAAGACACTACGATGAGTTCCTATGGCCCTGGTGAGGAGGAGGGGAAGAGGAAAAGGAGGAGGAGGAGAAGGCAGAAGTGCCTCTGCTCTGAGCTGGAGCTTTGCAGAGCCTCCCCCTCTGCGCTGCTCCATAAATTATTTAAGTGCTTTCCCTTTCCTGCATGAAATATTCACCTGCTGCCAAGGGAACTGGGGGAATTTGGGGGGGGGAGCCCGCTGGTGGGAACCAGGTGATGGGGACAGTCGGGGTGAAGGACTTTTGGGACTGGTAGAAATGATAATTGGGACGGTGTCACTGCTGGATTTGGCCCCTTTCCACAAAGGACCTCCAGCTGGTGCTCACTTGGCAGCTCTGCCGTGGCGAGTGCTGGTGCCACCGGTGCCAGGTGCCAGCAGGATGACGGGGTCTCGTGTTCCCCTCGAGCTTTAATTGATGCTTGTGCCCAAAATGGTGTGGGAGATGTTTTTTGGGGGTCCCTGGGGGGCGAGGTCGCAGCCAGGCGTCGGGTGAGGTGCTGCCGGTGCCGTCCCGCTGCGGTGAACACCAAACCGCCGGCGGAGGTGGCCACGGCACGAGTCCATCCCCAGGGGAGCACACCCGTCCCACGGCAGGGACACCCTCTGTGTCCTCTCATGGGACATCCCAACCTCCACACCACCGCTGAGGGCTGCAGAACTCCCCCCCCCCCAAACCTCCAAAATGGGTGGAAACCCCCCCAAAAAGGGCTGTGACTGTCCCCGAGGCCGCCGTGGGCACCGCGGCCCCGCCGCGCTCTTCCGGAGCTGGGAGGGGACTCGGTGACAGCAACACCCGGCTGCTCCTTTTCGGAAGAAGAAGCTGTTTTTTTGAGGGCGTTTTCATTAAAAATGAAGAAGGGGGTGGAGGGGGGGGGGGCAACCCAAGCCCTGAGCCGGGCTGGAAACTTCAGCGACAGGAAGGAAGCGAAGTGGGTTATTTCAGGCTCGTGTTTGCTCCTCGGGGCAAGACTTGCCTCTTCTGCGCGCCGAGAGCAGCCCCTCCGCGAACAATGGGGTCGCGGGGCCCTTCCCGGCAGGAAAACGGCTCGTTCCGGTGAAAATCTCCCTGTTGGTGCTGAGTCAGCAGGTCCCAGTGTGGTGTAGAGGGTGCCCCGCGAACCGTCCCGGTGCTGAGCGGGAGCCAACGGGAGGTGAGCTTGGGTCTGCTTGGGGTTTGCAGGGAGCGACCTGTGGAACAGCTCACGGGAGCTGGGTGCATTTTTGGGGTCCCTGTACCACTTTTGGGGTCCCTAGACCCCTCTGTGCCTCAGTTTCCCCCGGGATGCTCCTCGCCCCAGTTCCCAGCAGGAAAGGGCTGTGGGCGGCCGGGTGTTGTTTGCTGCAGGGAGCAGAGGGTTGATCCGTTATTCCACTTGGCATCTGGGAGCTGTGGGCAGCTCTCAGGAGATGGCACTTCCTATTTTCTGTGGGCTCTGTAGGTGGAGTTTGCTCTTGCCTTATGGCTGTGGTTGCCCAGTGTGGGAATTCCTATTTATCCAGGCACAGCTCCCGGCAGGGAGCCCGGGGCACCCCACAGCCATAAGGGAGGGGACTTTGGGGTGACAAAGCCCTGCTCCTTCTGGAGAGGGTGCCAAAGGAAGTCCCCTTAGAGCCAAGGGAGAGAAGATGGAGCCACGCTGCCTCTTCCCACCCTGCCTGTCCCTCCGGGCTCGGCTCCGGCGGCACCTCCGGGACTCAGCCTTGGCATTAAATGGGCCCGACCCGCCTGGGAGCTGCTGTCACACGACATCTGTGCCGTCATTTTTGTCTTGTCCAGTGCAGGAGCCTCAGCTCGAGGCTCCCGCTGGCACAAGTCGACGCTTTCCCCTTGAAGGAAGCGCTTCCAAAGCTCCGTGTTTTTCCTGAGGGCCGTAAATAACGCTGCAGGCGGCGGCTCACGCGGCGGCTCCGTCACTGCTCCCGTAATTCACGTCCCCGCAGAGCCTTGGCTGCCCTTGGGTTCAGGGAGCTGGAGGCTGGAAGATGCTCAGGGAGTCGGGGCCCATCACAGTTGTCCTTGCACAACTGGCTGGGTGAGCCTTGGCTCCACAGGGAGCTGGGGTTTGCTCCTGAGAGCCTGGTGTGTGCTCCAGGGTGGTAGGAGCAGGATTGGGGATCTCCAGAGGGGTCTGGGACTGGGTGGCAGCTTGGCCTAGGGGAGTCACAGAGCTTCCTGTGATGGGGACAGACTCAGTTCTGCACCAGAATCCCAGAATGGTTTGGGTTGGAGGGACCTTAAAGCCCATCCAGTTCCACCCCTGCCATGGGCAGGGACACCTTCCACTAGCCCAGGTTGCTCCAACCATGACCTTGGACAATTCTAGGGATGGGGCAGCCACAGCTTCTCTGGGCAACCTGTGCCAGGTCCTCCCCACCCTCCCAGGGAAGGATTTCTTCTTAATATCCAATCTAAACCTGCTCTCTATCCGTGGCCAATTTATCCCCATCCATCCTCACACCGGCAGCCTCCTTTAGCTGAAATATCTCCTCTCCCTTCCCAGGGGATGTATTTATAGCCTGAGCCCATCCCTTCCCGCTCTGCCAGGCTGTCCATGCCATGTGCAGCCTCTTGCATAAGCAGCCCCAGCTCTGCCCATCCATCCTGGCTCCGGAGCCGGTTGTTTTCCCGCTGTTCTCGCCTCCCGGTGATTTGTAGCTCTGCGGTTTCCCCGGGCCAAGGCGCCTCTCCAGGGTCGGCAGCTCCAGTTTTATTCCGTCACGGCGGCTTCGAGAGCCGCGATCTGCCCGAGGTGACGGATTTGGTCCCGCCGGGATGCGGGAGCTGGGCTGTAGGTGAGGGCTGTAGGTGAGGGCTGTAGGTGAGGGCCGTGTCTCGCTGAATTATTCACCTCCGTGCGACGCCGGAGGGAGCCGAGGCAGCGGCAGAACAAGTCCGAGCTCGTGTGGGTGGATCAGGGCAGTGCCAGGGAGAAGGGCTCCCACACAAATCAGCGGGTGCCGCAAACCGGCCGCGCCGCTCCGGCCCCGCCGAGCGCCGGGGTGGATGTGGGATGGATGTGGCACGAGGCCGCGGGGGTGACTCAGCTGTCACCTGGGCTGTCCCCGGCTCACCCCGCAGGAAGTGAGTCAGGGTTTAAGGAAGGAAAAATGTTGAAGGGATGGGGCAAGAGCCCTTCCTGCCTGGGGAGCGGGGCGGCACCGGGCGCAGGAGGGAGCTGGGGATGGAGGGTCACGGGCGGTGCTCAGGTAGGGACGCCTCGCTCGCTGTTGGCTCTCTGCAGGGGTTTGGGAGAGGGAAGGTGGGAACACCCCTCAGCTCATCCCACCATCCAAAGCCGGGGTGTGAGCCCAGCTCTCGTCTGCCCTGGCACCCAGCAGCTGCCTCGGTCTGGCTGTTGGCTGGAGGTGCTTTTTCTCCTGCCAAAAGGCTGCGTGGGAAGGTGAGGAATGATAGAGCCATGGAGTGGTTTGGGTTGGAAGGGACCTCAAAGCCCAAGCCTGTTCCACCCCCTGCCATGAGCAGGGACACCTCCCACTAGCCCAGCTTGCAGGTGATGTGGGGATGGACGCAGGGCGTGCTCTGACCCCCGTGTGCCTCTTGCCCTCACAGAGATGGACACCTTCAGCACCAAGAACCTGGCCCTGCAGGCCCAGAAGAAGCTCCTGAGCAAGATGGCCACCAAAACCATCGCCAACGTCTTCATCGACGACACCAGCAGCGAGATCCTGGACGAGCTGTACCGGGCCACCAAGGAGTACACCCACAACCGCAAGGAGGCCCAGAAGATCATCAAGAACCTCATCAAGATCGTGATGAAGCTGGGCGTGCTGTACCGCAACGGGCAGTTCAGCCCCGAGGAGCTGCTGGTGATGGAGCGGTTCCGCAAGAAGGTGCACACCTTGGCCATGACGGCCGTCAGCTTCCACCAGATAGACTTCACCTTCGACCGCAGGGTCATGTCGGGGGTGCTCCTGGAGTGCCGGGACCTGCTGCACCAGGCCGTGAACGGGCACCTGACGGCCAAGTCCCACTCCCGCATCAACCACGTCTTCAACCACTTTGCGGACTACGAGTTCCTGTCGGCGCTCTACGGGCCCTCCGAGCCCTACCGCACCCACCTGCAGAGGATCTGCGAGGGGGTCAACAAGATGCTGGAGGAGGACAACATCTGAAGGCTCTTGGCAGCCGGGCTCTGCCTCCTGGGAGGGTGGAGTGGGGCTGTTTGCCTGCTCTGAGCACCGCCAGGCTCGACGGCCCCTCCTCCTCCTCTGCAGTGCTCGCTCGTTTTCCCCTCGTTTCTACAGGAGACTGAACATCTGGACTTTTGCCCACCCCTTGCCCAGGGGCTTCGAAGCCCTCCCTGCGCTGGGCCGAGTCCTCTCTGGGGGATCCTGGGATTTTGGGCTCCTGCTCTGTACAGTTTGATTTCCTTTGCCCACCAAGTGTCCTTAGCTCTGAGTCCGAGGACTCTGAGCCTTGAACTCTGTCGTAACGCTCTGGGGGGAAAACCAAAGCAAAGCCTGGGGGTGCGTAACACCTCTGAAAGGGGTGTCTGAGCTGGTGGGATGTTGCTGGTTGTGAGACCCCCTTCCTGGAGGGTTGTGGGGCTCCGTGGTTTTCCTTCAGCAGCTCCATAACACCGTGGGAGCAAATCATGGTCCAGAGTGTTGCTGCCCAGGATGGGAAGGTGTGGGCTTTGCTCTCCTCAAAGACAAGTCCCTGAGAGGAGGAGGATCCCACCTCACCTGGACAAGGGAGCTGCTCCTTCCCTGCATCCCAGGTACCATCCGAGCCCCAGCTCCCCACCAGCCTCCCATGACTGTCACGGCTCCGACGCCGCCCTCGGTGGTTCTCCAAAGTTCTCCGTGGGATTTCATCCATTTTCCACTTTGTCTGAGTGATGGTTGTTCTTTTTTTAGCAAACTCTGTAGCCCTGATGAGTTATTTAAATAAACTCACCTGTTTGGCCTGGGAGCTCCGTGGGGTTGTTCCAGCAGTGGGTGACAGCGATGAAATGAGCCCTGGGGACAGCTGGGTTTGTCCTTTGGATGGTGGTGGCTCTCTGTGACCTGGGGTTTGTACTCCCTGGCTCCCTGGCTGGGCTGTCCCTGCTCCGTGGCACAGCAGCTCCTGGATTTTCATGGCCAGAGCTGAACCAGTGGAACAAACGGGGTGTTAAACCCAGCATAAAACAGCAGCAAAGGTCTGGGATCCTGGGGGGAGCAGAGAACTGGGGGTGTTCAGCCTGGAGAAGGATCCAGGGAGACCTTAGAGCCCCTTCCAGGGCCTAAAAGGGCTCCAAGAGAGCTGGAGAGGGACTTTGGACAAGAGACGGAGGGACAGGACACGGGGAATGGCTTCAAAGTGAAAGAGGGGAAATTTAGATGGGATATTGGGAAGGAATTCCTGGCTGTGAGGGTGGGGAGGCCCTGGCACAGGTTGGGCAGAGAAGCTGTGGCTGCCCCATCCCTGGAAGTGTCCAAGGCCAGGTCGGAGCAACCAGTGGAAGGTGTCCCTGCCCAAGGCAGGGGGTGGCACTGGGTGAGTTTTAAGGCCCCTCCAACCCAAACCATTCCAAGATTCTGTGCAATCCTGCACCCAGCAGACACCCACACGTGCTCCTCTGCATCCCCACATCCCCTGGCTGCTCAGCCAGGAGCCAAAAAGCACAACCCTGACAGCAGGAGGCCGTGGGTGACTCCGCAGAGTCGGATCCGGGCGCGTTGGAACTCTCGGAGCGGGGACGCGCCGGCTGCCACCGCTCCCAGCATGACAATCCCTGCTCTGAACACTGAAAACTGCCCTTTTAGCACACAAGGCACCACACAGTCCCAGCTGGCCTTATCTCCACGACCTTCTTGTGCCTCCTGTTCCATGGGATGTGTCCGGGCACGGGCAGCTGCCGGAGCTCAGAGCGGCTCCCGCTCGCCACTCCCTCCCCACCGCCCGCTCCAGGCACTGATAACTTTCAGCCTTAAAAGATTATAAATAAAGAGAAATCAAGCCCCCACCTCTGTCCTTTCACAGCCCTGGCTCCAGCAGTCACAGATAACTGCGTGGCACAGCTCGGGGTGGGGGTAAAGCACATTCACAGGACCCACCCGGGTGTTGGTACCAGGGGGAAGTGGCCTCTGAGAACAATTCCTGTGCCCCCTGAGCTGGTGGCAGCTGTCAGGTGTGTGCTGGAGAGGAGCCAGAGCTGGAAACCACAGGAAGACGTGGTGAGATGGGGCTGAGGGACATGCTGGCAGCCAGAAATGCTTTGCTGGTCTCTTCTCGAGGTGCATTTTGGTGCCAGCTCCTTGGTCACATGAGCCCCACTCGTGGCTGTTCCCTTTGTCCCCATGATTTCCTACACCCCAGGCCCACACTTAACCCCCCCAAACTCCTGGCACCAGCTTCTCTTCACATCCAGGTGTCTAAGCTGAGCCTTCTTCCCCACAGCAAACACCCACCTCACCCCCAAATCCTTCCCTTTTTGTCCCAGGGAAGCCCTGGAGAGCAGATTCTCTGCCAGAAGAACCATCTCACAGCCTTGGTTTCCCATCCCAACCCTGGGAAATGAGTCCCTTTGCTCTGGTTCCCTCCCAGTGACTGGTTTAAACAGCAGAAGGGTCAGAGACCTGCAAAATGCAGCTCAGAGCACAGGGGGGAGCACACTGGGGACACTCCTGGGCCCTGCAGGTCACCCACAGGTCCATAAAGTGACACACAGAGGAGAAAAATGCATTTCAGAACAGCCTGGAGAGCAGAGCTTGTAAAACTCCCAGTGCAAAGCACACCCAGACTGACAAAAAAACAGGGAACTGCCCCAAAAATGGGCAAAGCACCTACCAGTGCTCACAACCATCAAAAGGGATCAAAGGTGACAGTGCAAACTGACAACTGCAGCCTTGTTGTCACATGCTGGGGCTCTCTTTGGCTGGGCAGAACCCCCACAAACCCTCTGCAGCCCCCCAAAATTCCCGTGGGCTCCTCCTGGCCGAGCAAACCCTGAAGGTTCATCCAGCTGGGAAGGGCAGGAGTGAGAGAGCAGAGCAACCTCAGGCCAGAGCACACTGCTTCATTGCTTTATTTGTGCTGGATTTACACAGGAAAGGAATTGCACATTCCCTGTTATTACTCTGGATAAGAAAAAAAAAAAATCACTTTTCCTGTAGGTATAAAACAGTCCTGTGGTTGTGCTGAGACGTGGAAGTGCTGCTTGGATTGATTCCTGGTTGTGTCAGAATAAGCTGCTCTGCCTTCCCCCCCATCCAAGCCATCCCAACCCAGCTCTGGCAGGTCCAGGGCATCCACCCCAGGGATGATCTCTCCATAAAGAGTCTCAAGAGAGCTTTGGCCAACTCCATTCTCTCCTCCTCCCTAAGTGAATTATTTCCTCCTGCCACGCTGGTGGAGGGAGAAATCCCATCTCCCCTCCAGAGGCTACAGAGTTAACAACTTCCCTTCAGCAAACCCTGCTTAAATCCAGCCACTCACTTATCTTCCTGCACTGCTCTTCCCAGCAAGGGAGATAAGGAGCCCCCTGTGCCACATTCAGCAGATCAGCCAAGCAGGAGGAGGGCCCAGAATGGCTGCCTGTGGATCAGGAATCTCCAGGGAGGTTTCCAGCTGCAAAAGCACGTTGTTACTCTGACACAAGACAGAATTAAATGTGCCCTCTCACACCTCCAAGCCCCACTCGTGTCGGACCCCAGCACGTTTCAGTATTGAAAAACAGATAAGTTTGGCCAACCCCAAAAAGAAAAAAAACCAAAACCCCTCATTTAAACCAGGAATCCTCTGTTCCTGCCACGTCCTTCTGGCCAAAACTGCTGCCCAGGCTGCCCGAGGCTGCCCAGGGCTGGCCTCGGGGGTCACAGCTCGTCACGGGGTGTTTTTGCTACAATCATGAGCTTGGACAGTTCAAAACGGAACTTGCCTTCCCTGTGAGACACTGGAGAGAGAGAGAGAGAGAGAGAGAGAGAGAACAAGCACAGGATCAACAGATGGGAAAGCACGACCAAAACAGCCCAAAAAAAGCACAGAGGCACGAACAAAACAGCCCTGCTGGGTCCCTTCCAGGGTGGGGAAGGCAGCGAGTCTGGGCACTGAACTTCCTCCTCCTGCACGTGACAGGCTGGTGGGATAAACCCTCCTTCCTCCACCTCCCTGAGCTGGAATGGGAGCCCCACACCCCTGCTGCCAGTTCTCCAGAGCACTGTACCCCTGGCACTGTCCTCCCACACATTGTCACCTGTCAGTGTAGAGGATTTAAGCTTAAGCTGCCTCCCCCAGCACCCCCTTCCTCACACGGTTCTCTCGGTCACAGACCTGTTGTTTCGGTGACTTCAAACTCTTCCTGTTTTAAGGGGATGTCGTTCTGGGCACCCACAGCAGCCTGAGACTGAAACAGGAAGGAAGAAGGTGTGAGAGGGTTGAGGCAATCCAAGGAGTTGCAGCCTTCAAACCGAACAAACAGCAGCCACATTTTGGGGGAAACAAATAAATAATTAAAAAAAAAGAACGGATTTGTGAGCTGTGTGGAGCGAAAGAATTACGTCCACGAAGGAAATCTGCAGGAAAACCTCTGCCTGTTTTTCCATTTCCTATTAAAGCACAGACTGGTGTCCTTGGGGTGATGGAAAACCTCACCCCTAAAGGCTGGGAAATGGAAGAAGGAGCCAGACAAAACCACCCAGAGAGGTTTTATTTACTTTGCCACACGCGATTTGTTGAGGTGATCCAAGACTCCCGCTGTGCTGTGCCTTTTGGAGCCCCCCCCTTCCCAGCAAACCCATGGATTTGAGGGGGCAGAAACACAGTGGTGCAGAGGAGCCCACCTGCAGCCCCTCTCCTGCCTGCCACCAGTCTCTAATTCGGGACGTGCTGGAGCACATTTCATTGCACAGATGTCTAATAAATGTTTTCCGTGCCTAATTCATGTTTTATAGCAGCCTCCCACACTCCCTGCTTCCCAGGGATCAGCTGGGACTTACATAAGCCATGGCATACTCTATCTTGGCTCCTTTCACTTCAGCTTTAAACTGGGTAAAGAAGAGATAAGACTTCCCCTGGGGCCTGAAACGAGAAAGCAGAGCCTTTGTCAGCGGCAGAGAGGGTGGAGGTGCAGAGGAGTGAAGGATTCCCAGCTCCCTCCCTCCCTCCACAGCCACCTCTGGATCTCCTGCAGCTCCATCCAGCGCTGAGGGTGGGAGAGAGGGACACAGAATGTTTATAAACCAACGCTGGGTGAAGAGCCCAGCAGAGCCACAGCACCCCTCGGGAGAGGAAAACCCTCCCTGCTGGGAGGCAAATCCACCTGGGAAGCAGAATCCCTGTCCCACATCCCCCCTGCCTGGCTGCTGGTTTGGCTGAGGTTACACAGAACACACCTCCAGATGGAGCAGGAGAAGAGCCCGTTGTCCTCGCTGATCCCAACGTTCATCTGCCATTGCTGCAGAGGGAAAGGTCCAAACAGTCACTGGGGGGAAGAGCCTCGTGCTCCCTGCACGGCCCCGGGGCCACTGACCCCCCCTCCAGCTGCAGGATGAGCTCCAGCAGCCCTAAAATAACACAACAGTCCCTCAGGCACCGAGCTCAGGGCCTGGTGGCTCTCTGTCCTCTCCACAATCCCATCAGTGCTGTCACAGAAAAGAGTTTAAAAGTCCCATTTCCTTTTAGGTTAAAAAATGAGGACCTGGTTGAGACAGGGTTTGCTGATAACGAAGTACAAACAAAAAACCTTCCAGCCTCCCAAAGGAGGCAGGAGTTACTCCTGTGAGGTCCTTCCCACCAGCTGGGGTGTGAAAACGTCACTCCCAGTTCTCCAGAGACATCCAGCACGGAGATTTGTTAAGTCACAGGATCCCAGACTGGTTTGGGTTGGAAGGGATCTTAAATCTCATCCCATTCCACCCCCTGCCATGGGCAGGGACACCTCCCACTATCCCAGGTTGCTCCAACCTGGCCTGGGACACTTCCAGGGATCGGGCAGCCACAGCTGCTCTGGGCAACCTGTGCCAGGGTCTCCCCACCCTCCCAGGGAGGAATTCCTGCCCAGTATCCCATCTATCCCTGCCCTCTGGCAGTGGGAAGCCATTCCCTGTGTCCTGTCCCTCCAGGCCCTTGTCACAGCCTCCTTACAACACACAAAGGACACTTTGGCGCAGGGAGCAAATCCAACACGTTCCACACAGTGCTGGAAAAGGTGCTTCCCCCACCCTTCCCCACAGCTCCCTGTCCCTGGAATCAGCTCTTCCCAAAGGAAACCGGTTCCCTCCCTCCGTGCAGGGACTGGGACTGGGGAAGGGCAGGGTTTGCCCAGCTCACCTCGTTGGTCCCTCCCTGGGCCGAGTAGGTGAAGGTGCAGCTGTAATCCCCCTGCCAGGAGAGAGGGACGTGAGCTTAAGCAGGACCTTCTCTTCCACAGAATCAAGGAATTCTTTAGGTTGGAAAACACCTCCGAGACCATCGAGTCCAACCATTCCCCCAGCACTGCCAAGGCCACCACTAACCCAACGTCCCCAAGTGCCACATCCACCCAGCTCTTAAATCCCTCCAGGAGTGGGGACTCCACCACTGCCCTGGGCAGCTGTGCCAGGGCTGGACAGCCCTTCCCATGGAGAAATTTCCCTAATATCCAACTAAACCTCCCCTGGGCCGCTCCCTCTCGTCCGGGGTTTGGGGTGAGGACTCGTGTCCTGGGGGGCCCAGGGACCTGCAGCCCCTTCTCCTTGCTGAGCCTCCTCCCCATGGGGACTTTCTTTCTTTGAGACCCCCTTCCCTTGGCAACCCCTCCCTGCCCTTGGGATACTTCATCCCTTTGGAAACCCGCCCTTGGGGACCATTATCCATGGCAGGCTGCCTTCCCTGGGGACCTCCTCGCTGCAGAGACTGTCCCACCTTGGGGACTCATTTTACCTGGGGATCTCCTTCTGCTGGAGACCCCCACTTGGGGGGACCCCAAGTCCTTAGGGACCCCTGTTTCTGTGGGGGCTCCCTCCCTCCATAGGGGACCCCCCTTCTCCCTGGGCTCCTCCTGCCTTTGGAGCCCCCCTTGGGGACTCTTCTCTCCTTGAAGAACCCCCATCTTGGGGTCTCCCCTTCTCCTGGGCTCCCTCCGGCCATTGCACCCCCCGTTCGTGCCCCTTTCTCCCGGGGATCCCCCTGCCTTTGACGCACCTCCTTAAGGACTCTCTC